TATGTATATATATATATACTAAGTCATATATGACTCAAGATCCTGGAAAAGGGCTCTTCTGCAATATCAAATTGAAAAGCTTTAACTTTTATTTGAAACATCTGCAAAACCATTCCCATTTTTTTCCTTTGGCTGCAAAGAAATGGTTATAATAGCACTAAATGTAGATACTTACACACTTGCAATACTATGTACTCACAGGTGCAGCTCACATGATTTCTAGTTAAGCATAGAACTGAAAAGACTTTCTTTCCTTTTAATAGTGTCACTTTGACTTTGTAAGTTTTTTTTTTTTTTTTTAATGCTAGGAGTACTGGGCTTGTCTCCTGCCACAAAACCCTTCTTTTGTGGGAACAGAAGAGCTGGAGTAGCATGGGAGAGATGTGGTCAGCAGGGTAGGTGATAGCCAGGAGCCTCTGTTGGCAGCTTCTGTGCTTTTTCCCTGTGCTCTATTTAAAGTCTGTCAAAGGAAAACTGCTGGGCTGTTTACACAGCTATGGAGTGGTGGGACAGGAGAGCAACTAAGAGGAAAAACTGCTGGCTAAAACGTTAACTCACCCAGTGTCTCAGAGGAGGAGACATACAGGTGGCATGCCTTCACAGACGGAGGCTGAAGGCTTAAGTCCTTTCCCCACTAAACACCTGCCCAGCTGAGAGCCACAAAGGTGTATCCAACTTCCCTGGCCTTTCCAAACTGTTCAAATGTGTGTGGGTTTTTGGCTCATGATGGATTTGAGAGAATCCATCCAATGTATGCATTGGCATAGCTAGTATTGATGAAATTTCAGCCCATATTTACAATGTATAGAAACCTTAAGTGAGTCTTTTCCTGACTGTGTTTGAAAACTGGTATCATTTCTATGGCAGTTCTTTCTGATCCTGTTTCTGGCCCTACCAATGACTGATGTCATGCAAGTATTTTAAACTGCTTAAACCTAACACACCCGTGGGATCTGGCTCACCTCTGTGAGTAATGATGACAGTCTGGCAGTAACAGAAGGCAGGAGTAGGGACGTTTCAGGATCCCCAGGGAGAAGGGGCATCTACAATTTTGTAAAGCTACAAAATGACACCCCGCCCCGCCATGGCAGTGTTCTCTCCCACCTCACCTCAAGTAGCATTTATCTATCATGATATCAGGATACAGTAAGTCCTCACTTAACGTTGTTGATGGGTTCTGTGACTTTAAACGAAACGACATGTAACGAAACCAATCTAACATAGGCTAAATGAGGTAAACAAGAGTTAAATTCCTACAGCATCTTATCAATGCTATAAGGAAAAGATGTTGAACAAAAACAATGTTATTTGAGGACCGGCTGTACGTTTTGTTTAACACTCCGTAAATCTTGTTGAAAGTTATGTATCTGTCTCATGTGCAATTTACTTTGTGAAATGGTAACTGAACAAAACCTTTAGCTTAACACCCTGGTTTTTCACAAGGCTAACAGGTTATTTAGAATTGACTTCCGGCTGGGTCCTTCACCACCCATGTAATTTAGTGGGTAGCAGAATGATTCTAGGCTGGGCTCAGACTGCTACATCCACATGGCATTGTGCCTAACCCTGGGGCTGGGTTGTACTTCCCAACACACAAAACCTCTTCACAGATTGGCACAGACAATAAATGAGGCTCTGAAAGTAGGACCACTATCGCAGCAGCCGTCTAACACTGTTGCGGACCGAAGCCCCGACCACGACAGGGAAGTGTGTTCTATGCCGAGGTACACACCTCTTCCTCTGAACTGTCACTCGGGTCATTGTCTAGTGAGGCACTCAAGGAGGCCGCCTTGGGCTCCAGGTAGCAGAGGCACATAGCCAGAGGGAAGGAGAGAGTGAGGGCATATGGCACTGAGAAGGAGGTGGAGAGCAGAAAGAAAAAGATGAAGAGGAAACAGGGCACGAGGGAGGGGGAGCGAATGGGGAGATAATGCTGCAAGCTCTGGGGGAGGAGGTTGGTTTCAGACAGGTTGGGAAAAGACAGGTACCCATCATCATCTAGAAGAGAAGGGAATGACTCAGGGAGCTGCAAGGAGAAGGAGAACAGGGTGGTCCCTTTGCCAGTTTGCTGTTTGTAGCTAAAAGCTACATCTTGGTCCCCTAGATATGGCTTCCCTTTGCCCTCAGAGTCCACGGAGGGCTCTCCGTGGACATGCACGGTGTCTTTAGATGGCTCGAGGCCTGGAGGTTGGTGGTCATTCTCCTTACACCTCCTACGGAGCTCTGTGGGAGATGCAGGGGGACAATGGTCTGATGGGGGGGAAAGGGGACATGAGTCAGTGCCAAGCCCAGGTGACTGATATGAAAGAGACAGGGAGAGACAGAAAGCAGCAAACAGAGATGCAAAAGGACAAAAAGAAAACTGCAATTAGTTAATTTTCTTATGTGTATCAATATAAAATTGTAAAACAAGAATTTTAGACTAGGGTTGTTAATGAATTTTAAAGTACTCAAGCTGCATGCCAACACTGCCACAACTGGCTACCATTTTCCCACCAAAAAGACCATCAAATCTCGGGTGAGCTTTTTAAAAAATTCAAAACAGAAGATATTTACGGGCAGTTTCAAACTCTACATGTTTCACATGATCCAAAATTTTTGTTTAGATCAACAGCTCTAGAAAGTTTTAGGGTTTTGAGAGCAAACATAATTCTGGTAACTTACAATTAAGACTTTCAATAACTTTTCCTGATCTTCAGCTAACAGATCTGTTACTATCACTTCAGTTGGATTAAAAATTAAATCGAATCCAAATTTTGATTATTTAATCTCTAGCATTACCTTTCCTTGGTTAGTTAATTACATTCGAAACAGGTAGGTTTTCGAATTAAGAAGTTTCTGGCCCCACTCCTATCTGATAAGCAGTTTCAATTGAGGAACTTAACAATTAGCATTTTAGAAAGTCTGACTCTCCACAAAAAAATTGAGGTTCCTTTGAAATTCTTATATTGGCTTATTTTTCCATGATCTAAAAGAAGCCTAAACTCCAATCAGTGGTTTCAACAAGATAACTAGCAAAAAGAATGTGTTTTCTTATAATATGGTTTATAAATATTTACTTTGTATTACTTGTGGTCCATAAATAATAGAAAGATACAATTTTCCAGCCTTCTGAGTTTTTGTTTTTGTTTTTGTTTTTAAAGCAGATAAATGGTATGTTTAACCCTCCTGGGGTTTGGGTTCTTAAGAGAATGATAAAGGCAGCTATTCCCACAAATGTGCTCCCCAATGAGCTCAGGCTTCTGCAGGGAAAGTGAGGCTCTTTAAATTCTCTCTGGTCTCAATGACCACGGCCGGTTTCCTCTGCAGGTGACAGAGGGCTGGTGAGCAAGGAGGGGAAGAAGAAAAGCAAGCAAGCCCCAAACAAGATGTGTGCATAGCAATGAAGCTGCTACTGCCCAGGGAACTCAAGATGATGAGGTCTCATGCAACCTAAACATAATTAGACTTTTGCTAGTTTCTGTGACACTGTGTATGGTGTGTGTATGTGTGCGTGTATGTGTGTGTACACATATTTGTGTTTTGCCTAGTGATCTGATAGCATGGAAATTTGTGGAGGTTATCCAACCCTGACTTGGTAACTATAGACAAAGTGTCAGAAAATGCACAAATAAAATTATATCATGGATACATCTGAATTTAGAAGTATCCTTAGTATTAGATAAGTATGTCTTTTCCTAATACTCACATGTGACGTTAAACACTGTGTTTTAAACCGGGCTCTGCACAAATCTCATTCAACTGCGAATAATACAGAAGTTACAAGCTGACTTCTGCATGCAGACAATTGTTCCCGTAGTGGCAGAAGGCCGCCCTGTCACTGAGGTGATCATTGCTGGGAAATACACCTTCTCTCTAAGGAGTAGGGGACCAGTTATCTAATTCTAATGACAATTTTCAGTAACACATTTTTATTTTGTTTAAAAAATGAGTGCCCTCTACATTTCTTTTTGAAGATGGAGAATAAAATTAAGGTTTAATCGTCCATGCTGCACATTAATAAGGTTTTTAAAAGACATCTTTGCACTGTGGAAAATGAAGAAAGCCATCGACCTACTTTAGCACTTGGTCTCAGCCACAACCCTTTTGAAGCACTTTTGGGTTAAAGTGCTGGCTTCTCAGCGACTCAGATTGTAAGAGTCCCAATCTTCTTTGTCTTTTTATTTTTCCATGGCATAAATGGCACTGAGTAACAATCGTTTCATGCTACATGCTACATAAACAACTTGCTGATCTTTTAAAATCAAATAAAGTGAGACTGCCTTGGAACAAACTAAAAGTCATTTACTTTTATGTGCCACTTAATGATATTTATACATCCATGAGAATTGTATGTTGGCATGTGTGATTTCAAGAAATCATGGAACACATTTGCTGTTCAGCTATATTATTTTCTTTTCGTGTCCTATTTAAAACCTTCCTTGACTTAACTGAAACCGTGTAAAAACAAAATTCAGAACAAAGCACATTTTAAGAGCACCAGTGATACAAATATTCTTGCTGTCATTTCCTATCCTGTTTGGCAAATAATTTTATCTTAAAAAAATGATGGACTGGGTCATTTGGAATATCCCAATGTAACTACAACAACAATAAGTTTCTTCATCTACACATTTAGCTTTCATTGTTAAATTCTTGTCAAAAGGAACATTTTTCAATAGTCTCCCAGGTGGTGGGTACCTGTCACATAAGTCTATATTTAAAGAGCCCATGTGCAAAAGAACATTTTGAATCAAATTTATGCAAGTTTTAGCATAGCCTGTAAAGTATATAGCATTTTTATTCTTTTATTTTCTTTCACTCTGCACTGTGTGCATCGCAGGACCCACTGTTTTTCCATTATTATTATGTATAAACCTCTCAGTGCGTTTTCTGACTTTTAGGGAGCTGCTCTGCTACATACAAAACCCCTCACTAGAAGCAGGTTGTGTATTTTTAAACTTTTACTTTTCTAAAAAGTGGCTTTATAGTTCTGGATCACCAGAAATCATGTGAAATTTAAAAATAAATGGAAGTTTGTGTGAAATGAAGTTGCAAATTTAATGGGGAAAAAAACACCTTAGAGAAATAGCTGCCAAATTCACTTTCCATCTTACCTGGCAACCTTCTGCCTTAATATCATTTTCTAAAACATGTCCACTTGCTACTTTGATGATTAGATTATAATCATAAGACTAAGAGAGGAAACAGTGTATAAATACACAGACTATAATCACTCAGTTACTTACAATCAGAAGAATGCAATGTAATCCTACTGTATATCTAGAAAAATATACAGTACTCGAGTAGGAGAATGGGGCCAGAAATCAAGAAAATAGCTTTAGTGACAGTTCTGAAGTGTGAGCCCAAACAGAAAAGTGTAATATGTCATTAAACGTACTTTTAAGAAATACAGACAGGACAGCTTTTGAAAGTCTTACATAGCATGTCAGTTGTTAAAATAAAAATGCTCAAGAAGTTAAAAAGGAATCTTTCAGAGGAAAAATGTTGACAAAGGAAATAATTTAAAATTTGACAATATGAATGTGACTAATGCTGAAATATGAATTAGCTTAAGTCTAAACACATTGCTGGCTTATATCCTTAGTATTAGTTAGTAGTTCTCAAACGTCTGAGCAAGCTCTAGGAGGCAGCCTGGGAGATATACCTTTCCCTCGTGCCGTATTGCTGCAACAGGCGTTGCTTCCTCTGCCTTTTTCCGTCTGTCCTCTTCCTCATCACGCTCCTCCTCAGCCTTTTTCTCTGGCGTCACAGTAGTGATCAAGTTGGTCTGAGAGATGCCCTTTGTTGTGGCGTACTGGCCAGTACCAACCTCTGCAGCAGACACAGAATCCTTCATGTATATTTCATGGTTTTCATTCACTGACGCTAAAAGCAAATACAATTGAAGAAATAAAGTCTGAAATAGTTAAGCCAGAAGACTGATAAACACACCACCAACTGTCCCATTACAAAAAAAAGTACCCCCACGAAATACCATTTGTCTTCAAAAGACAAGTCAGTGCTGCAGGTACCTTCATCTAAAGGCTATCATAAACCCAACTTTCTATCTCAACTACATTAGCTTTTTAAAAGGATTTAAATGCTCATCTCATGAAGCCACTAGAATAATTTTCATCTGTTCTCAGGATCTATGGTGAGGATGTGTGTCAGGGAGGCTGAGCTGCCACTGAGCCTGTTACCCCACAAAGTAACTGGCTGGGCATCGACATTAGACACTTAGTGGCAAGTTCTACAACTACAAGTATTTTCAGTAGACAACTGATATACTACATTTGACTTCGAATGTATTTTTAGAAGTGCCATTCTCCAAGGAGCACTGAAATGTTTTTTTAATTATTATTATTAATAATGGTTGAAAAATCTACAATGTGAAAACCACATGGGTAACAGTGAAAATTAACCATCTTAGCAGAGATTATATAAAATTCAGATGGCAACTCCATTCAACTAAAGTGCAGAAATGTTTTAATTTCTACTGCACTTTAAAAAGATATGCATACATATCTACCATGATATGCATGTATTCATTCATCGCTAATATTTTGGGAAAACAAGACAAACATTGCTAATGAAATTCATGCAAAGGCAAAGCATGCAAACGTAAGAGATACAAGATAGAGCCTTTCATCACAGCTAAAATGTCTTAGTGAAAGAGATACCTGATTCAGTGAACTTTTTAAAATTCAGTACTCATTATTTTGGGTTTTAGGTATCATAATATTTATTGAAACTGAAAACTGCTGCTTTTCCAATTCACAGTAGCTAATCATGGGCAAAATATAATCTGTGTTCATGTTTTAGGAATTTTGAAACATAAATGTAAGAAAAGATTCTAAAATCTTTTTAATAGTAAAGCATTTCACTAAAATACCTTCACTAAGATATTTTATATGTCGTTATTCTGATGAAAAAGCTCACATGAAACACGGTTTCCTAATGGGCCAGTTAGGCTGTTCTATATAAGAAGCAACCTTGCAGAAAGCAGTTTATATTCCAACATGCAGCCAGAGCCCCCAGGTCAGCAGCACAGAAAACATACTAGAATTATCAAGACCCCAAAGAGTGAGAGACAACACATACTAACATCACTTTTGGGCAGGGAGGAAGAGACAGCATGATATTAGTACATTTATTTCACGATTGTCTTCTGTCTTCTCAGCAATCATTATTACACAAAAGGCCATAAGGAAAACAACATTCACGATAAATGTGTTCCCTTGGGTACACATCACTGAATAAAGTAGATAGTATTCAGGGAAAAAGGAGTGATTCTACAAAAGATCCTCCAACACTGACTTAGTGACTACACAGTTTACAGATTCTCTGAAGGAGAAAGAAGAGTGAGACAATGCCAGAAGAAAAGCTTCAATGTGAACACAGATATGTCAATATCTTAATTCACCTCAAAACAGTCCTAAAAACATTTTATGACAAAAGTTTGGCTCTAAGTTAGATATTCTGAAAACAGGAAACTCTTAGAAGACAGAGAATGGTAACAGCTTCCTAGGTCGGCTGACAAAAGCCGATAAGGATAATTATCAATATAATTATTGAGATAATCATGATTACACCTATAACGAGAGTGCTTTGACATATGTCTTATTCAGTCATTGCAACAACCCTATTGGGGTGACCTTACTCCCATTTTATGGATGATGACTAAAACCCAGACAGTGGGAGTTAATATAATTCACCAACTACTACATAGCTAAAGGGCCTGGACTTCAGCTTGGATTTATCTACACCAGGTATGTGTTCTTTCTACTTCACTAGTAACATACATAATAGAGCACTAAAAATACAATGTTCGCTTCTTCTATAAACTGTGTATAATGTCTTCCATTAGAAAAACACGATTATTTTAAGCAAAAGATTCAGGGAGTATATTGAGCCACCAACCACTCTGGAGCATGGTGAGAGAAAGGGAGAACTGAGACCATGGCAAGTGGTGGCAAAAAAGGTAAGGAGGACGGTAATCTCAGGCACTTGTAACTATTACTTATTTTTGTTTATGTTTTTGCTTATTATTAAAATCACACGTACATACTAGAAACTTCTAACTCTTTATGTGCACCAGACAGCTCTTCCATCAAACAACTAATCTCTAGGTGCTCTGAATTAGAAGACAGAGGTCTGGCCATGGCCTGCTTCCTTAGTTAAGTATTACTATAGCTGTCGTGACTTGTAGCAGAAGGCACATGTGCATGTAACTATAGATACAATACAAAACTGTCACACAAAACAAAACCTGCTGAAAACTCATGATTACGCCATTTCTTAAACATGTTATTTAAGTGATTCTCTTCCTGTTTTACTTACACATTTGACTTAACGGCAGAGAACATTTACATAGCAATGCTCTCCCAGTCCATCTGGTGTATAATTAATACTAACCACGAAGATTTAACTTAGAGTCCTTTGCTCTGTTATTTAAATGCCATCCTTTCCATCAGCTATTATTCATTGACTGATAAGAGTCACATTTTATTCATAAAGTTTTTTTAGAAACAGATAAATTTTACTTACAGTTTTTTTTTTTTTCTGAAACAAGTCATCTAAGACAAATCTGACAATCACTTAAGATCTGCTGGCAAGGGAACCAAATACTTACAGAGCATTTAACTACTATACATAGAACGGGAGCATCTTTCTCCAAATTCAAGATACCAGCTTATAAAGGCTATGCTCTTCATTCCCTAAGTACCCATTCTTTTATGTAATTTCATATAAATCTACAATACAAGACATTAGACTCACAAAGGTACTTTTGAGGGTGTGAGGTTAAAATCTGCCATTTAGTCATAGGCCGACAAGGTTTTTCATTGCATACTATCCAAGAAGATCTGTTTATAAAACGCTCATGATAGTTTCATCCTATTGGGTAGCCACCAGAGATTATTAAAGGCCAGTAAGTGAAGCCTACCTCCATCTAAGCTGCGAGACATGGTATAACGTTTGCTGGACGAGCGTTCAAAGTATGGGGCTGGGCGATCTATCAACGCACTGGCTCTTCTTGTTTGGGCTTGCGTTCTGCCACTATAACGAAACTTGGAACCCAAGGTGAGGAATTTCTTTGGAGGTGCTTCTGGTAACAACAGTCTAAAGGTATTAAAGGAAAAACACTTAATAGAAAGACTATTAAGTCAAATATTAAGAAATCTAACTTTTTACTCTGTTCCAAAAGGTAAAGTGCTTTGTGAACAAATGGATTAACACCCAATATGCAATTAAATAAATCTGATTTTATAAGGAAAAAAAATCAATTCACACAGTATATATCAACTATCAATGTTACAGAGAGGCTATGAGCAAAATGGGTCGGGTTAGGCTAGCGAGAACTACTACCCCATGAAACTGGAGAGTCTCTGGTACTATAAACTCAAGAGCAATTAAATAGGTGATGGCAGTGAAGGAGAACAGTGATAAATCGTTATTGTGTGGACACAAATCTGAGGGTCCTAGTACTGTCTGCACATAAAGGGGTCCAAGGGTATTGAGATATTACTGAAATAGTAAGGAGTGGATTGGACATACTACAAAAACAATAAAAAGACACTAAAGATAAAAAGAAAGGGGAGATGGGGGGAGATAAGTATAAGACAAGTTAAGGAAAATTCTTCAAATTTAGTCAGAAGGTCCTTTAGGATTTTTTATCAAGAAATCTATTGACAACAAACTTGAAGGACCAGAAAAAATATTCTTCTACATTCTTCTTCCCAATAACCATTTTCGGTATGTGATTCCGATCATTCTCATTCTTCCTTAGGGAAAAAAAAAAAAGATCTCTACTTACCTGAAAAATGTATGGTGTTCAACGCATACTTTCCATAAACGCTTGGCAGCTCGATGGTTTGGCAGCTTAAAGCCAATGGTACTTTCAAATTGTTCAAACTAAATTCAAAAAAACATATTGAAGAGCAGAGTCAAGTTTGGAATCAGAAATAACAGGAAAGTAAATAATTGACAAAATTATAATACCACCTAGAAATTTTTCTTTACTCACTAAATCGTTATATGCAGAATTCGCACTATCTACATTCATTTGTTAAAAAGGGGAGGAAAAAACTCCTTATATCTATCTCCTTAAAATACTGCAGGAATGAGCAGCCACATTATGCATATAGTAAATATTTTATGTACTGGTATGGATCTTATGAAAACTGAATGCAAAAAAGGATATCTGGATTCCTTCCAGAGACCAATTTGTCCTGATCTCGTTTTTAAGCCTAATAATCATGGATTCTCCATGACATTATGACTTCAACTGGAAGGTACAGAAATGAACGAAAGATTTATAGCTTACAGTATTCTTAGGATGACATTTTCTCCTAACATCGGGTCTGGAAATATGCATATATCCTTGGTATTTAATGACTTGATATCATATATTGCTGATGTTATTTCTGCATTCTAGTATGGATTATCATGTTAAATGCTAACAATTCTTGGTTTATATACAAGATCAGAGATTAGAACATATTTTCATATTTTTCAGCATGTACAGTTCAGATGATACTCCTTCAGCCATTTGATTTTTCAAGGTGAAATATCTGATTTCCTAATATATTTCAATATTATTATTGCAGATATTCATTATTTTAATTTTCTGAAGACAGTATGAATCAGGCCACCAGAGGGCAATCATCTTAAATAGTAAAGGCTTCACAAAAGAGCACTAAACTACCTGACTACTGATATAATCGATAACAAAAGTAATTTATGTGGCAAAGAACCAAGGAGAGAGGTCCTCTGCAAGGCACATGAGATATACTTATGCTCGACCTCTATTTCTTGATTGTTGAGAGGAACCGAGCAGGGAGAGCTTGGGAAATATATCACAGGTTTCTTTAACTGCAACTGTCATTCCCAAATTCTTACTCGCTGTGGATGTGCGTGTACAGTGGTAGTCATAAAAATCACTACTGTCGAATAGACCCAGTCAATGGACAAGCCAGAGTACTATAGATCTTAATTAAACCACCCTCCATGTGTTCGTTCTGTATCTAGTAAGTACCACGTACTACGCTAAGGCCAGGAGTTTTAAAAGAATCAACTTGCTCCTGTTGCAAGAAGCCAGGAAGATTCTCTCAAGGATGACAGAGGCCCCCTTTTAAGCATTTTTAAATGTTTATCTATCTCTCTGTACTTCGTATTCATTTCTTTCAACCTCTTCAGAGCCTTCTGCCACCCAAAACTTCCCACTCATTCTTCTCAGCTTATGACTGTAAAAAAGGGGAAGGAAACTTTCTTTGAGCCTGCTTCTGCCTGAACCCTCACCTTCTCGCTGCTAGAGAAGCCTCGTCTACTCAGCTAATTTACTCCTTACCTCACTGCATCCTGCCAGGTTCTCCTAACACAGTCCTGAACTCTTAAATGCCACAGCAGAATCTGATTATCAACTCCAATGCATTTTTCTTAATTTTTACCCTGTGCCTTTTCTGTAACATTTGGCATTGCTGGTTAACCAGGTCCCCTAAATCTCACGTCCTTGTCAACATGACTGTTTTTGACTCTCCTTTTCTTAATCTGGCTATTCTTAATCTCTCTATGATCCTCTTCTGCCTACCCCTCTCTCAAAAAGTGGTACTGCCCAGCGTTTTTTGTTTTAAGGTCTCTCTCTCTTTTTTTTTAACTTCTCTTGTTCCTTGGGTAACTGATTCCATGCCTAAGGCCTTCAATAAAATGTATAAGTTGATGACTCTGTTCAAGTCTTGTATTTCTTACTACGCAAGAATCGCCCCTTGAAAAAATTCTCCAAAGGAATTTCAATCTTTTGTTTTTAATTCTCCCCACTTTCCTCACTTGTCTAATAATATCATCTCCATCAACTTCTCTGATGCAAGCTGAAACTTCTGATTATCCTGGACTCTCTCCCCTTTTTATTCTTCTTCCATCCTGTCTCTAAGACCTACTGTTCTGCCTCTAAAGTCTCTTTCAAACTTGCTCCTTCCATTCTGTTCCCAGAACTTCTGCCCTAGTTTAAGTCTCATCAAATCATATTACTAAGTAGCTGAATGCCATTAAGAAATCCATCATTCCAAGATATTCATGAAGTTGTGTCATGTCCTAATTCAAAACCTTCCATGGCTCATTACTGTTTCCTGATGTATTTCTCCAACTTTCCCTTTGGGCCTCTCACAACTATGCTCATTCCATGTCTATAGAATATTATCTCATCTGTATTATAACATTGTAATTTTAAGTGTGTAAGTCTGTTTCTCTGCTAAACAGAAAGTCCCTTAACAAGGTCATATTTATCTTCCTATTTCCAATGCCCAATGTGGTGCCTGGCAATAAATATATGCTCAATAAATGTTTAATGACTCCAAATGAATATACATTGGTTATAAGTCTAACATATAATCTTTAGGAAATATTTTTAAAATTACTGCAATTTCAGGTATATACATAAAAGCTTATAGATTATTTCAGTTTTAAGAGACAAATATGACTTTACATTTATATTAAATGTGACCGCTTGCTTTACAGTCTCATATTTTAATTGTATTTTCCACCAGTAGGTAGATTGATTTTGAAGACAGGACATGATTCTATATCATGCCAGAAAATGTTGAGACATAAATGAGCTGCAATCTTAGAGCTTTGCCTCCATTACAGTAACTACACTGATTAGAAATGAAGATATTTATTAATCATCTATTAAGCAGATAATAGCAGATTTTTACTACCTAGTATCTAAAATCCATTAAGGAGGATACAAATTTAAGTTGATCATGGATGCTCTTGTCCGAGAAATAAGGATTAGTTAACAATTTTGACTCTTTCATTAGCCTCTCTAATTTGAAAAAAAAAAAAGGTAGAACTATAATAGGCTGTGGAAATTATTTACATAATTTACATTCAGCATCCCTTATTCTAATCTTTCTGGTATCTCTTACTCTAATACACATTATCTCAAAGCTATTCATTTTAGGGTGCTATTAGATTTAAAGGACAGAGAGAGCAGAGAGACATAACAGGACAGATAGGAAGAAATCTATTCTTTATTCACAAACAGGTTTTAAGACTAAGAGATTCTTTCATACCACAGCTTAAAATATATTAAATGTTATTCATGAATCTGTATTTTACATTAAAATATATAAAAATAACCCTTTCAATTAATGTATGCAGTGGGAAAAATGGCAATAAAATAATAAAAATGAACATTTTGTTAATTATTGTTTATTAGACAAAACTTTAATAAACTCTCTTAGGCATTAAGACCTAACTCACCGTATGTCCTGCAATGTTGAGAACTTGTCAGCAGGGAGTTTAAATTTTTGTTTGCCATTAGGCACCTTTCTTCCTAATGTACGTGCAAAGTTGGGTCTACTTACCTCTCCCGGGCGGATCTTAATGTAAAAGTTGTTCCGTTTATAAGAAATTTTTAGAACCTTAGGCCAGGCAAATCTGTTTATCCTCAGTCGGTCACGATATATCAACAGACCACTTGCACAAACTCCTAACATAATTTCTACTCCTTCAGAATCCTGGAAAATAGCAGCAAGAAGCAGTGTATCAATATTTCACTTATTTCCACTTACAGCTGGGGATAACACTTAAGCCTCCATGACAGAACCTATAATTGACTACCTGCAGCTCTAATTTAAATGTGAAAAACACTGCAGCCATTTTTTAAACATTACCACTAAATAATGGCCTTTTAATGAAGATATTTATCACTATGGAGATTTGCTAGCGTAAAATTTGCTTACCCGGGTATTTTAAGACTTACCACATAAATACTGCACACAGAGAAGGCCAACCAGATGAAAGTATGTTAATAACAGTAATAGTAATAGCTGCAGCTCTCACTTATTGAGTGCCAAGCACTGCTTATTAACTCTCTTAATCTTCACTAGGGTATTTTGAGGTAGTTGCTATTATTATTCCCATTTTATAGATGAGGAAACTGAGGCATAGAGAGGTTACCTATCTGTCCCAGTTGAATGTGGGCAGCCTGGTCACAGAGGCAGCGCTCTTAAATGATATGGATATTAACAGAGGGGCACTGTCTTTCTTAGGAGTGTTTCAGAGTTTGTTCCTTTCCTTTAAAAAAGTCTCTATCTTTATTTTGTTGTTATTGTTGGAGTATAATTTAAATACAAATAGTTTTTTTAAAGTATGAACTGTACTTCCCCAATAGGCCCTCAAAACATCCATACTGCCCAACGGTAATCATACTTAACAATAACAGTGATTCACCTATATAAATATAGATACATTTTATATATGTGTATAGTTTGGTCTTTTATGACAAAAGTTGAATCATGCTACATTTGCAATTTCCTTTGCTATTTGCGCATTTCATATTTAGGTCATTTCATAGGAATGTGTTATGCCCAGAGGTCCCGGAGGTTATCAGAAATGTTACATAAAGTTCAGGAGATGTCCCATGTATAATCTATGCCCCCTAAATGTTGCATCAGGTGAAAGCAGGGTAAAATTAACATTGTGATGGCCTTGAGTGGGGTAAAAATAAAAGACCGAGGCAGGACTCTGTGTGAAATGCAGTGTCCACCCCTGTGTCTCACTGACTGTTGGAAGCAGAGGGCATGTGGGCAAAGCTGAGCTCTTTTGTCACACTCATCAGCAGGGCTGTCCCTAGCTTTGAGTCACTCTGCAGCACCAGCAAAGAGAGGAGGGAGAAATGGCAGAATCCAAACAAGAGATTCCGACTCATCCATGTTGTGGGAATTTACTTCCTAAATCCTGTTAGTGCAAGGCTCAAGATGAACATTTCCAGAGTCAAAAATAAATATTTTGGTCCATTTCTGGAAAATATAAGTTTACAAATATAATCTAATTGATTTAAAATGAAATATTTTACTTTGGAACCGTATCAGTCCATTAGATATGAAATTACAGGAGTAGAAATACTTGACGTCTGGACATTACAACATAATAATATTTGAGAACTCAAAGATAAGAAACTGCCCACAACTTATCAAGGGCTTTAATTTGAAAGAGCAATTTAAAAGCTATAACCTGATGCTGACAAGTAGCTGGCATTATTGATCCTTTAGAACCAGCCAATTTGCTCACACTACTGCTCAGAGGGGACCATCTCACGCCATGAACAGAAATGCAGGCATGAGGGAGAGCCGTTTGAATAACTGCTCTTTGATTCACTTTCTTTTTGCTAAAGAACATAAGTTTAGGAAATATGCATATGACCTAAAGAGGGAAAGGACATTTAAAAACATTTTTCATTATTTTATCTGTTTTTAAATCACCCATTGGTATCTTTCGATCATAAGAAAACAGAATCCCTTCATGGGGTAGAGCAGGAACACTCCTTTGCTCCCTCCTCTCTCCTTGTCCCTTCCAACATGCACTTCTCTGTGTCCCAATACCATTGTTATTTCTAGCATACTGTAAGCAAATGGTCCTGCAATTAATTCCCACCCATCTTCCTTCTCTTTGAGACTGTAAGCTGGTGGATAGCAGGAGTTTTGTTTAATCTTGGTAACTGCATGTTCAACACAGTGCCCATCTAGCATGTATTAAGTCATTACATGCTTGTTGAACATTTCATTAATCATGCAGTAACGACAACAACAAAATACTCTGAATATCAAGTATTTGGCCACAGCCCATAGTATTAAAGTTAGGTTAATAAAATTTTTATATTGAAAACTATAACATCAGTCTTTCTTGGGGATACGTGTTTCCTTATTAATGAACACATCTAATGCTTCCTTTAGCAGGGAGTACTGAAGAAAGCCTGGATGATCTCAGTCTTTCATAATTAATATAGATAAGCACACTACCCCTTAATTTAAAATCACTGTTCAAACTCTGTCATCCTTCATTATCACTTGGTCCATGGGATATCCAATATGAATTTATAGCTACTACATTTTAGAATATTATATGAAATAAAGGACTCTCACAGAGCTTATACAGACTGACATAAGATGACAAACAAGCAGAGACAGCCTTCTTAAGAAAAAAATCAGAGCATCTAAAATAGATTTTCCAAAACAAGGGACCTTCATCTAATATAGTTATTTATTCTTTGTACAGAGCTGTGAAGTTCAAGATTGCAGTTCAGAATTTCTAAATGGGTCCTAAAGCTCATAGCCTTTCATACCATCAATAGAAGAAAGTCATCTCACTTACAACCGGAAATGAGCTCTAATTTAATTCAGTAAATTTCCTGTTACGGAAATGAAGTGTGGCTGCATGAGAAAATGGGATCCATAACTGAATCATTTATTATACTTAATATTCAGATGAAATCCTATAACGGGTGGCATTTGCACTTCCTTAAGTCTTTCTTTTTTAATTGGCATAATTTCAAATCATATTATTGCAGCTATCTATTTTAATTCAGTAGCTATAGCAATGTTAAGTGATTTTATTTTTACTGATGGGAACACTGATATATCCTGAGTTGCACTTCCCTAAATGCATGCCCTAATCTTTTATTTATTTATTTTCCCTGGGCATTAAGTGAATCACCATGTGTAATTCAAAAATACTTTTCGATTCACTCAAGTTTTCAGGCTATCTTCATTTCCTTCTTATCTTTTAGTCACCTAAGGATAAACTACAGAAAAGCAGTCTTATTTTCATTTTAAATCCTCATCCTGCCTTATACCTGGCAGAAAATGTGAAACACCTTTGTTCTCTGACTGCAAAATAAGTGAAAAAAAATAATAATAATGAACTGGCAAGTAAATAGAGCTACACCTGCTGTTCTAATTACACACAAATGTCAAAGAGCTTGGCATTAATACACCAGCACATCCCTGGGCTAAGCCCCAGCCAAATCTGAGATTTTGCTCGTTAGTGCTCAGGGCTTCAGGCCTTGGAAGTGTTCATCCTGTGTGATGTACAAAATGATCTACAGACATAACCAATCAAATCTGCATTTATTTGACAGCCACTATTTTCTCATCCAAACTCACTGTGGATTAGTCTGCTCCCACACGCCAACCAGGGAGCATCTCCACATGCAGCATCGACCAAACCTATGGATCACAGATTTCCTTCCCACGGGTCCTCAGGGTTGTTGGAATGTTTGTTTGAACAGAGCCAGCTGAAACTCTATTTCTTAGTCCCAAACTTGATTGTATATGATACTTGTTTGCCTGGAAGTCTTTAACTGCATGTTCTTGTGAGTTCCAGACCATGAAATTGGTGACTACCCTGTGTATCAGTAAGTAAAGGCACATTCCCATAACCAGAATGATGTTATCTTGTCACACCATATCAGAAGAAACTGCCCCTGAACTTCAAATACTGATCTTTATTAATGACGCTGAAGTACCGGCATCCATCCCTAAGATCTTAACAAATTTCATGTTTCGATGATAACAGTTTTCATAAAAGCTTGCCTGTGCTTCCACAGGATTTTTTTCATAGCTGTTCAAATAACAGACTAATAGTCCATATACTCATTTTCTCACTGCTGAAAAATAAGGAGATTCTAGGAAAAAGTATGACATGGAGTAAAAGCGGCTCTGAGCATCCTTACAACCTTTACCCTCCTACAGTCCAATCCCATTTTTTTTCCTCCCCAGACACCACAGCCAAGCTACAGCTTTAACGTTTCACAATTTCCCAAGCAACCAGGCAGTCCTTAGCTTGGGTAGTTAATTTAGCTGAATTTTAAAATAACATTTTATATCCTAAACTTCCAGCCTCCAAAACTGTGACAAAATTAATTTTTATTGCTTAAGTCACCTCCAAAAAAAATAATAAAATAAAATAACAATCTTATTTTAAAGTACTTGGTTATTTGTCCGAATGCCTAAACTTTAGAAATGGAGTTATTTAAATTACACATGAATTTACTAAGTGCCTGGTGGGTGTCTAGAACAGAGACATAAACAGTACTTGGCACAGAACAGATGTGACATTGGGTATTGGACAATTGGCTGAGTTTAGGCAGACAGACAGACAAGAAAGGGCAGGACAGTGCAAATTTGGGCATATTCCAGGAAAAGGGAGACAGGATCTGGCAGGAACAAAGGGCACATGTCAGCACAAAGTGGGGGAGACCAGGAAGGCGGGTAAGCTCAGAGTTTATTATATGAAGATAAACTTCTAACTGAATCCAGGCAATCAGAGGCTCTGCCTACGAGGGCTTTCAGAGGGCTGAGACCATGAGTTATGTGAGTTTGAGCCATGCAGAGCCAACCCCTCGGTAAAACATCAGAGAGCTAAATTTTCTTTATCATTGGGCTGGCCTTAAAAGGCAAAGACAGATTTTAATTCCCACAGTTTTCATTTACATGAACTGAAATAAAAATCACCAGCTTATAGCAACAACACTGACTTAAATAAAATTAAATAGAAAGTTTGGGGTTTAAAAAACACATACCTTGGCATGATGTAAATCTACCCCGTACATAGATAGTTTTTTGGCATTTTCCAAAAAATGCATCTCTGCTTCTGCTGGTGTCATTCCTCTGATAAGAACAACAACAACAAAAATGTTACAATACTGCTTTTCTTTTACCTAGTGGGGCTGTAATATTTTCTACTTAGCTCTCTTCCTATCTAATGAGCAAGTCCCCATAAAGGCGCCAACAGATTTGTGCTCTGAGGGAAGAATAAGAATAAGGGACAAAATGGCTTTTAAAGAAAACATCACAAATAGACCTTCTAAATGAGAACCTAACTATCCCAGAACTGAACCTAGATGAGAACTCTACTCTGCAAAGTTCCATTGGTAATGTACCGAAATCAGTCCTGGACAAAGTGGGTGTGTAAGTGATGCTCACCATCCAGGAACAACTTAAATGGAATGTTCACGGGGTTTATTTTATATCACTAACCTGTGGCTTTTGTGCAGCTCGATCACTTTATCTTCCAGTTCTTTAGTGTGATTTGGTGCAAAGCGGAACTCACTAATGTAATCATTCCCACATTCGTCTGGGTCATAGTCTCCCAGTTCTGACTGGACCGTGTAGGAGCCCAACAGGGCAAGAGTGACAAAGGAGCAGGGCAGCCTTCCAGACACAATGTCATCTCGCAATTGTAAGCAGAGGTAGTACCTTCCAGGAGCCAAAAACAATAAAGCAAAAAGCCAGCATTGGGATACATGAAAAAAAAAACCACTCAGTATAATTTGTTCTGTAACTAATTTCTCCCTGTCGAATAATCACATGAGGACAAATTTTCTAGCATCTATATTTTGATCTAGATATAAGGGAGAAATACTTAGTTATAAAACAATATTTAAGGGCATCTAGAGACAAGTCAGTGATCATAACAAAACAGGGTTTTACTAATAAGGCACACAGTAAAAGAAACTTAAAGACATATTCCTCTAACATCTTTTAAAATAACATTTAAAGTCAAATGAATAGTTTCCAATGCCCTCCCTGAAATCTTTGGTTGGGGTATTATAGTATAAAGCATGGAGCTCTTAAATATAACTGAGTCCCAATGATCCTTAAGGAAGTCTCATTTTGATGTCTAAACTAAAGGTCTTATGACCTTTAGTCATATGACCAAGACGAATTTCAGGTAACTCAACAGTTGCACCATCATAAAATCTGCTCTCAATTTCCTGCATTCCTGGTGAGACAATCTCTTGATAATAATGAATAATTTCTGTTTCAATTTCTCATTTTTTTAATTTAGATAACTTCCTAGAATTCAACTGATATCAAGACTAACTGAAGAATTACAACCTTAAAATCTGAGAAGCTCATCACTATAAGTAAACAGTTTTAAATTGGGGGAGTATAAAACATTTTCCATAGTCAAGGTAACATAAAAATATCTCCATTAATAGAGGACTTATCTTCTCTGTTATTTTGCTTTTAAGATTTATAGATATAATATTAATTACAGAAGACTCTGAGGTAAGAGTTGACATTGGTGAGTTTTAATAATATCTTTCATGGCCCAGCATATGAACACAATAATGAAACACACCTTATACCTTTCATATAAGAAACAAACTGTTATTCTGTTGAAGCTGAAGACTATGGAAAAATCTTAAGGTCTCCTCTAAATATGATTTTAAGCTGATATAAGTAAACTCTATGTAAGTCAGATATAAAAATTTCTAAACATTTCACAGGCTCTACAAACATTACACAGATAGAAAGGAAGCATGTACTAAATTTCAGTCTAGGTATTATAGGCTCTATAGCCACAAGTTAGCCAGTTAAATAGTTCCTCCATATTACTAAAAAAAAAATCTTTAAATAAGGAACTATAATTTTTTTTCTGATTTAATGCAAATATAAAAAAATAGTCTGGAGCTAGGTTTTACCCTTCCCCTAAAATGTCTGTTGAAATTATTTTTAATCATAACAAGAGACTGAAGCTTTTTGAGCAATTTCACTTTTCTGAAAAGCCCTCCAAGGGTGTGCGTCTTGCACAGAAAATTCAGCACGCACTGCACAAAATCGCTCTGATGGGCAATAAACTTACTCACTCTCAGAGTGAGTCCGAGGATCCAGAATGGAATGCAGAGAAACCTACAGCACATGGCACACACAGGACCATTTCACAAAGGAATCCCTTCTAACACTCACAGCTCAGTCACCACCCCAGAATATGTTTGTTAGACTCCTGTCTCAATGTCTTCTTTTGTGAAAATGAATTAATTGTTTTCCTTGTAGGATATGGAAAGCAAACTCTTAAATATACATGTATTGATACGTATCTATGTGTGCATCCGTGGGTGTGTTTTTCTTAAATAGCTGTTAAGTATCAGATTGGTTATATAAAAGGCTTAAGCATCCAAAGACATATTTTTACTCTAAGTTTTAAAGCAGAAGCACTAAGAATGGCTATATAATTTAAGACTGAATCCCATCCAATTTGGTTGTGGTGGGTGGATGACAGTATCCCAACTCCACATTTTCTCACCAGGGTCAGGCAGAGGAAGTATTGGCTTATTATCAAAGATTCAACTGAGAACAGATATGATTTGGCAAATCTCCTCATTGGAATGTTTCCTCTCATTCGGTTGCATTTTGTTTGCCATTTTAGCGAGGATGATCATAAGCATGTAAGCATGCTCTTTCCCGAAGAATTCAAGGGAAGCACAACTCTCTCAAGATGCTTGCCTTTTTTATAGCCAAATTTCAAATACCTGGTGATATCTTCAGATAGCTGGGCAGGGTCTGGTGGGTAAAATTTCACATTAAATGAAAACTGCCAAGCACCACCTGCAGAGATGAGAAAAAAAATGAGAATAAAACCTTAGAAAATCCCTTTCTACTTAGCATTCTAATCGATAAATAGAACTACCTGAACTCCAAGTTCTGACACGGAGGCAAATTTTGGTCATTAATGGAAAACAGGAAAGTCTCCATTAAATAAAATCCACAGACAAGTCTGAAACTTCATCTAGTTTCTAATCTTCTCTGCAATCAAATCCTTTACTGGCATTTCTAACTAGGGAGGAAATTAATTTCCTCCCTTTCTTAGTGACAAAGGTAAGCCTTTGGAAGAGGGGGAAAAGTGAACAATATGGATAATCCTCGATCAGACAAGTCTGGAATTGACTGGATCTACTGCTATGAAGTTCTGGATGGCTTGCATACCAACATTACAGACACAATCCCATTTCCTTTGTCCTTTCTCCTTTGCTATTACAGGTCAAATCCCATTATAATGCATGTCAAGGAACTGTTCAAAATATTTTTATTTTATTTTATGATAGTGAATATTTAAAAAGGGAGCTGTTCTATGAGCAGCTGAAAATTCTTTTCCTACTCAGGGAAAGTTTTGATTAAAGATAGTTGAATGTATTTACTGTGCACTACCAATTTCCACACTTCCTTATTATAATGCCCATGACTTGGACAAGTCCTCTTTACACACTGCCTTTCTTTATCCCGTAGCAACTACGTACGACCTCTCCAGCAGTGAAGAGTCAATCAGATGTTGGCTCACAGGCACTTACTCTCTGTGTTGTCCACGTGTATACTTGAAACATTATTCAGTCTTAGTAAGCTCTTCCGTTTATTTATATTATCTCTAATTGCGTGTGGTTTATCATTATAAACATAAAAAAAAAAAAAAATCTTTTCTTTTTTTCTACATTTTATTGTACATGGTCACTTCTTTAATTTACATTCATCTTGTTCTTTTCTCCTGGCCTTCTGATGAAGTAATTTACTAAAGCCTGGGTGGTTCCTTTGCTGGGACACTGTTTACATCTGATCCCCCCACCCAATAACCACACTGTAAGTGCCACAGCGTAGGTCCTGCTTGCATGTGCCATACTGGAAGTCTTTAATCTCCACAGCATATAGCCACGGTCTTCCTTTCACTCTGTGATTCTGTGACCTCACAATCCAACTCTTATGTTTCAATACTCTCCTAAGGCCTCCAAATACTCCTTTCTCCCCATTAAATGACATCTGGAAACTCCATTTTTTCCATGAACCCCTTCCAAACATTCAGAAGACAGGGATAGTATTTAAAGTACTTCCTAGCTTCTTCCTTTGCACTATTCTCTTATTAAGTGGCAAATACTTATCTGCCTAGATTTCTAGCATAAATGGCATGGGTCCATTTATTAATTCTAGTTTATCCTTAACACTACCATTCATATTACCCTTAAAGTTCCCCACCTCAGGGCTACTATCTGAGGTGTCTTACAAAAGACTTGGCATAAGAACAGGTATAATTGAGTGCTTAATATTATTTTTAAACCACTCAGAAAAATATTACTAAACCATGAGCTATAAGAATTACAAGCCTTAAAATATTTGTCAATCAAATATGTGTCTAATGATTATCTTTCCCACTGTTTGCAAAAAAGTCCTTCCTTTTGTTATTCTAAAACTAGTCTGATTTGGTTTACTTTCCTATTGATTCCTATTCTTTCCTGCTAAGATGAGTCCCTTCTATGCTTGCCACTGATAAGGTTCATAAATGAGAGCTGGCTTTCCCCCAAACAAGTGGAATTTAATGAAGTAGTTGTGGGAAATGGATTTATTGCTCTTTTATAATTTTAACCACTTCAAAGTATGCCTTGAATCCAATGAATAGTTTAGCAATGTAATTAAACAATCTCATAATAAATTCAGGGAAAACACTCTAAGTTGGAAACTAAAAAGTAATAAAAGAAAGATATTTCAGTGCAAAAATCCTCATCCAGGAAAGTGAGTTTCAAACTATAGTGGACCTAAGAAGCATCTGAGGTGCTTATTAAAAATGCCAATTCCTAGGCTCCACTTAAAGACTACTATTCTAGAGATTTGGAATGTGGCCTAGGAACTTGCATTTTTAATAAACCCCCTTGAGATTAACACAGTTAGGTGTGGGGACCACACTTTGAAAATCACCAATCCTAAAGAATCCACTTGCCTAAAGTTATAACCCAAATAATCACAAGGCTTTGCAGGTCATTATTTTGAAACAATGGGAAAGTTTAAGAAAACTACTACCTACATTCCAGTCAAGAAAAAAAAAAATCTAGTTAAATACATATCCCTGCAAAGAATATGGCAGAGGCAGATCAACTGGGAGGATATGGTTATGCAATACATAGACTTGCAAGCCTACATCTGCTCAGATGATAGCGCTGGTTAGAAACAGGAAATGAAACAGCTTGAATGCATTATAATGATACTCATATAATGCTGCTATAACATTTTAAATCACAAATTTATGATAAATAGAAAATTGTGAAACTGAAGAGTTCATTCTTATGAAAAAAATTTAATTTTAATCTTCTATGCCTGCCAAATCTTAAAATTTCTAAATATACTGCCTTCATAGCATAAAATTACTATATATCATATACTCTATATCATTATCATGAACTTACTGTATTGTAAATATACTGTATTTATATTACAAAATATACTACATTAAAATTTTGAGTTCAGGTATAAATAAAAGATAACTAGAATTAGAATTTTTTCATAAGAAACTTCAGCTTCAGAATTTTCCTATTTCTCATAAATTTGTAATTTAAAATCTTTATAAGCTTGATTGCCAGTCTCTTGAAGATTGCATTCTAGAGACATACAGCATAAAAAGGATGGAAAGTTCCTTTTATCATTTATATTTATTTAGGAAGAGGAGGTGATGGTACAATAATTATAATAGTTTGATAAAACTTCTCTGCCTTGGTAGAATGTAAATTTTTGTGGAAAGAGGGAATTTTAGTATATCAAAACAATAAGAAATATAGGTAAAAATACCAAGTTCCACTTTAAAAAAATCCTAATTCTCATTTCTCTCCTTTATCCGCAAGACTGTCTCTTAATTTTCTTCATTTTGTAGTCACAAACACTGCCTGAACAATATGATGAAAAATATCCTTTCAGTCTTATGTTCTGATTGTGTCTTTAGCTTTCTTCTCTTAGAAAGAAAGGTAGGAGACAGGATAAATGGAAAGTTAAGGGAAAAAGAAGAATTCCAATAACAATAGAAAAGACAATCGACTGTTTATACAGCCTTTCCTGTAACAGTATTGTGACTTATTCTTAAACACTTAATATATTTTCAAAGTGCTTTGTAATTATAAATCACCAAAGTACAAAACAGCATTTCATTAGTTAGAGGAATACAGAGGACTTTAGGCACACAAAATGTTAGGAGGGATATTCAGCACATCTGTTTTAAATAACTCCATAAGAAGATTCTTAGAATACAGTCATTATCTTAAAATTTTTATTAGGACTCCCTGGAACAAAAAGAGTAGTTACACTTACTATCAAACCCGTAGCTGTCTCTGGTTTCGATCGCAACTTATTTCTATGTAACTATTCAACAAGTTTCTGGTTAGTGAAAACATCAAATTTCTCAAAAATGTGGTAAAGATGTTATAGTTGTATAAATAATCAGCAGGCTCTCTAATATCTAGAAGTACAGTGACACTTTTTCTTCTTTAGAGATATTATCTATTATTAAACCATTTTGAACTGCTCACTACTAATTACTTCTTATTAGTACTTGGCATATTTTAATATTTCAACACATTCAAAGGCACCAGAAATATCTTTACTCTTAAAAGTAAATTGTTAAAAACTTCAATGAGAATGATATTCTTATCAATAAACTGGTCAAATTTGTTCAACTAGAATTAGTTGTTCAGGAAAAGTAATCTAGATTTTATTGATAAAAATGAATTGCTTTTAAAAGCTTAACTAGCTATTGAAAATTATAAAGATTACCCATGTTTATGGTAAAAGAGCTACAGAAAAGAGTTAAAAATATAATTTTTATTCCTCTTTCTCAAAATCCTACACTACAGTGGCACTTCTAGAGGTATTTACTGTTAATATATTTCATATTCTTCTAAAATATTTCCATGTGCCTATATACATGTTTTTTTTTTTTAAACAAATACAATTTGTCTCACTAATGTCTCAATAATGAGAGCTAAGACACATTTATTCTACTTCATTCTATTTAATAGTTGCTTGGTATTTCAAGTTATGGTTATTCCATGATTGATCATTTCTTTATCAATGAATATTTAAGTTGTTTTTAGTCTTACGCTATTGCAAAGAGTATCATGATATACTTTCATACATGTACACATATGTACATTTTCCTCTCTCATATATATGCTGGATAAATTTGTAGAAGTAAAATTAGGGGTTAAAAAATAAGGACATTTTAAATTTTAATAAATACCGACACAAAGTACCTTTTTAAATTTATATTTCTATCAGTTGTGTCCATAATTGCCAGTGCAGGTATTATTAAACTTCTAAAATCTTTGCTAATCTGAATAGGTAAAATATGTCTCCTTTTAATTTGCATTTAATTGTTAGTAAGATTTAGCACCTGTCTAATACTTATCAGCTATTTGTAATTCAATTTTGTGAGTTGCTCATGCAATTGTTTTATCTATTAGGAACTATGCATTTCTTAATTTGCCTTTTGGGACCAAGAAAAGAGGTTGTCACCAGACAGTAAACTTCAGTCCAACTTGTTATTCCATTTCTAAATGATTAAATGACTGTTATTTTTAGCTTGACTTTCATACTTTCCATGGCAGTTAGGCTTGATATAACATTAATAATTAAATTTGAAACTTTTAAATGATTAATTGCCAACTGGAGCTTCACTTGATTAAATCATAGTTCACAGGCAAGGGAATAGGTCAAATGTCATAGTCATCTGATTTCCGAGTTATGATCATTAAAAATGGGACCTAAGCTAGGCTAACTTGCCAAAGATAAAATTTGAGGTCTTAATCTGTCTTTCAACAAACTGTATGCACATCAGGAATGTGAGTATGGTATGGGCTACCAATTTAGAAAACCCCAATCTCTAAAAATTCTTCATTTTTGCAAGTAATAATCCGAAAGAACTTACTTCGAATCTGTTTTTTAATTTCCTTAGCAGGGTCCAACCAATTCTGAAAAGGAAATGATAGCGTGAATTTGAATCAGAGAAGAGTAAAAATGACTTAATGTTGACCAGGTAGAGACCCACATTAATGTGTGGTTGCTCAAGGCCCTCCAGGCTGGGTCTTTCCCCCACATCTGATGCCCCTTTTCCAGGTCCTGCGAGGGTCTAATGAAAAAAATGTGCATGTCCACAATTCATTCTTGACAAATTCTTTTCTTTTACAACCAATGCCTTTGTGGATTCAAGCTAGCAGAGAAACAGAGAAAATATGATGGAGTCTATGTTCAAATAAGTTCCAAGAATAAACTAAGGATACATGTAACTTGGCACATTGATGTCCAAGCCATTCAGTCCCACACAGTGACTTCTGTGATTACAGATTCTTAGGTAGTTATTTAGAAAACTTTCCTAACAAATGAACATTTGCTTGAGATTTATGATTTTCCTCTTCAGAACACTCGAATGTTTAATGATGAAGTTACACATTGTCCAGTGAATTCAGCAGGTATTAAGTATGATTCACCACACAGCACCAAAACATGTAACATCTATGAGCAAACTTTCTGTGACTCAGTTTCTAGTACCAATACAATGGTAACGATTTCTTCTTTCTTACTTTTCAGGTAGTTGTGGGGATTAGTGAGGTAAAGCCCTGAAGAGACTGCATTACTCAGGTGTAAGAGTCCAAAGACGCATTACATTAAACATTAAATACCTACTAACTACATGAGACAAGTGTCGTACCAGGTCAGCAAACAACTCATCTCATATTCTGATTTGGCAAGAACGTGAAAGCATAGTAACATGAATTAAGAATAGACAGCAGCCAGTGAACATGTTTTCTATATAAGTATTTGATTTTTATATATGTATTTGATACTCATTGGCTCAAACCACTGAAATATATCATCCCCAAAAAGCACTATATAAAATGCTTTCCTGGAACCATAAATAACTCGAGCATGAAAAATAAACACTGACTGTTTCCACAATATTCAAGATTAATGAAATTTGTCAATAATTTCTTTTATGAAGAAATAAAGTGACTAACAGCATCTACTCAAAATAGTAATGTGGGATTGTAAGTGAAGGTGGAGAAAAGATTTACCAATTCAGTTTTAGGTCACTTTCTTGCAGTAATGAGCAGTTCAAGCCATAGTATTTTGTACTGCTTTTAATTACTCACCTTCTGGTTTTCAGCATCTCGATATGTAAGCCCAAAGTAGTCTTTTTCTAGCAAGTTCAGATGTTCACATACTTTATCAAACAGCACTTGGCCTCTGGAGCGTTTCTACAGAGAACAAAACATAAAAACAAGTCAATACAATAAAAAAATGCGCTCTCAGTTGCTATGAATAAAAATGGGTAAAATATGCTTGCTGTACCTTTATTGTAAGTGATGATCAAGTGTGATCACACTTTGCCATTTCCTTTTTAACTAATAAAAAAGTTCAACAAAGTAGACCTAAACCTAGAAAAGCCTGCCCCTACAAACAAATAAACAAAAACCACTAGTGTCACTGAATAAATACAAGTAAGCTGTGGATGATTTCTAAATAGAAATAGCAAGGAAAATGATGTGATGCTTGGAAGTATCAAATATCTTGTGAAATATAAAAATCCTGATGGTAAGAAAATATCAAAGGACCAACAAAAAACCATGTTTCAGAATGCCCAAACTCAATTCCCCATATTATCAGATTCTGAGCCTGAGAAGAATTAACCCTATTCCTTGTCTTAAACCTCTCCTTAAAACTTTCTCTACCAGTCCTTACTTAGAAATTCTAGCTATGAATCACTTTCTAAAGCTTGTTAAAATAATTTCATTAGTTTATTTTTTGGTATTTGATACAAATTTACGTTTCGTATTACAGTGTTAAACTTTCTTTCAATTTCTCTTAAAGTCATTTTTAGTAAATATAACAAAATGTTGATTAAGTTTGAAGATTTTTATTTGTAAATAACCATAAGATACAAATATATGTGCTATATTTTTGGCCATTAAGCAGTCATCTGGAGAAAGGGAAAAGATAGTCAACTGGGAAAAAATATTCATCAACTTTCTTTACTATGATACACAGTATCATATTTTCACCTAATCCTTCAAAGGTCTTTCAACATGTCCTTGGAGTCTGAGATGGGATTAACTGGCAAAATTAAGCTAAATACTTTTGTTTGTGTAGTACCAACATTTCACATCTATTAAGCATATCTGTCTTTAAGATTTAATGCAATAATAATGAGAAATATGAAAACTGATAAACAATGTACATGCCAAAATAATAAGTATTCAGAAGACCTGTAAGTGGTGTGTATTACTGTATAACCATAATTATAGTTGAAGTTAATTATGCAGTCTCCTCGAGCATGACCATTTAGGAAAAAAGATAAATTTATGACAGAAAAGTAAAGCCTGAGTTGTACCTAGCTAAAGAATCAATGATGTCGTTGATAAAAGTTTAATAATGCATGAAAATAAATTATATGTTAGCAAAACTACATAATAACATTTGCTCAATGGAAGAGAATAAATGATATGACAATGAAATGCTGCTCACTGGTTTAAATCTTCATTTACAGATAATAGCACATTATTTCTGAATAATGCTTAACAAACTATAAAGTTTTCACACACACAAAAACTGGTTCTTCTTATGCTTCTATTGGTATTATTTCCAGTATACAGATAAGAACACAGGGGTTCAGAGAAGTTAAATGAGAGAGGCATTATTACACAATGGCTGTGAGCGGTGGCTTTAGCATATAACCCTGGGTTTGAATTTCATTATGTCCCTTACAGAACCTGTTTTTCCCTCAGTAGATTGGATATTCCTAGTTCTTTGGAATGATTGACATTAAAAAATAAGAGAAAGTACTCAAATTTGGTCCAGTGATGGCACATATCAAGCATTCCACAAACATTAGCAATTATAGCTCAAGTGACTGACAAATGGCAGAATATGTAATGCAGAATTTAAGCATTTTTGCTGTAGGAGCACATATACAACTTCTTGTGGTATCGATAAGCAGTTTTAGTATTATTAACACTGCTCTTTCTTTAGATATCAATTACCTGCTTACTACCTAATTTGCTTTAGCTAGACCACAATATTTACACATACCATACCACACACACACATATCAGTGTCTGGCCAAATAGTTTCTCAATGAGTAAAAATAAAACAAAATAAAACAAATTCAAATTAAAAAAAAAACATTTCTCTACAAAGCCTCTTATATACTTGGCCCAGCAGACCAGAGCCAGTCCCTCAATAGAGGAATTGTTTCTGAATATGCCACAGACTGCCTTGGGCATTTTTTTAATTAGCTGTCTTCTGGTTTGCCATGTTCTTCCTTTTGTCTAAAGGGTGACATAGATTAGATCAAGCACAGACCACTATACTAACTGGCTCTTATTTTTTTGGCTTCTGACGATTTGATTTCTATTAGAGACTCATAGCTGTCTCTTGACTAGAACAGATTTTTTTTTTTGGTCCTAAGAACCAAGATCAGTTGTTGTCTAGAAGCTACTATATATAGCTATATGTAAACGATGAAACTCCTACCTGCTAAATGTCACCATAGCCCTTAGCTAGATGGATGATGTTAGAAAAGCCTTTTTAGTTATTTGGGACTTCATTTTCTTATCCCTGACTAATTCTATGGAGCAAGGCAATCATGGGCTTTAGACTGTAACCAGGCCTTCTTTGCTCACAGAAAATATTATTAATGATTATAGCATTCTTTCCTATGGAGCTCTGATGAGGCTTCAGCACACTTAGGCAGGGTGAAAATGATGCTTCCAATGAATGGAGGACATGGAGTTGGGACAATTTTCCAGCCCTGACTGGATCCCCTCTGCAGTCACACCCAATTCTCCCAAATTCTTGATTCTTTTAACTCAGATGCTTTTTTTTCCTAGCACATTATTCAACTTTTCAAGTCAATAATTTCTACTTATTGATTGGGTAATAACATCTAATTTGACTAAAGCTCAACAATCAGACTGGAAGTTTAAGAAAATTTATGTTACTTATTTGGTTCCTAAAGACATGATATTCATCAGATGATCAAATCTAGGCACCTTACTGTCACTGAGAGTT